TGTGTATATATATGTGTATATATATGTATATATATATATGTATATGTATATATACATATATATATATTATTTGTATTAGCTCCGTGTCTATTACGTTGGCATGTACTGTTACTGAAGGGTTTATCACCGTTTCCCACAAGCACAGGCCCTCCCGCTGATAAGCCGCACTGAGCCATCCATCGTCGCCGATCAAACAGTTTACAGCCTTGGCGACACAGCCACGTTTTCGTTCTTCAACACTTTCCCTCGACTAAGTGTTCTGACCGTTCAGTGGAGCAACTCGGTTGACAACACCGATATGAAGCATGATGTGATTGAGGTCACGCAGGACGATGTGGATGGTATGTCGAGTCCACTTGCTTAACGATTGTGGTGAACGAGTGTTCGTATCAACTGTACTCATACATACGGCTTGCGTGCCTGCGCAGTACTGAGAATCGGTTCGCTGAAATCGTATAGTTGTCTATCGATTCTTTTGTTCATTAGGGCCCTTCTAATCCGAGTGTAGCCAATGATTGCACATGAGAGAGTGCAAGTTGTGCATGTTCGTACTTGTATATCCAAACTTTCTCCAGAACCACTCTAGAAAGACTTTGAAACGGCCAGACCCTCTCCTCGTCTCTCCTCTCTATCGGTGCAATAGTGTAACCCGCACGCGTGTTGTACTTCCTGATTGTTTTTGAGCAGAAAATGGAGTGACTACCGTCTCGTTCGATGTCGACGAAGCGTACTGTGCCAACGGCTGCAATGTCGCTGTGGTGTTAGCCTCACACGCAGGAAACGCTGATGAATCTACCAATGAGAATGAAGATACAGACTCCACAGCTAATGGGGATGCTCGCAGAAGTTCGCATCGCATTCGACGCTTAGCCGACGGTGTGGTGGTATCGCCGTTGTACGATGGATCGTTGCCAGAGGTGAGTCTTGGGTTAGCGAGTCTTGGTTTAGTGAGTCGTAGGTTATCGAGTTTTACGTTAGCGAGTCTTGGGTTATAGTTGGGTGTTCGGTATGTGGGACGTAGATAAGAATCCTGCATTCATTGAACTACGTACAAGTACGATCAAAGTGGTCCACTTTGTGTACATAAGGCAACTGTGTGCACCTCTGTATGGGTTGATAGTTTTAAATGAAATTCTATCCGTCCTTCACGCGTAGACCCCCCTTTCCCTAGATGTAGCAACACCACACGTCCCTCTTCTCACTGGCATGCTTTCACCCGCAGACCTACCATTACATATCGAGAATAGCCCTGGAGAGGGCGCCAGAGACACGCCTGAATGTGGATGTACATATGTCTGTATCGGTTGCTGCGCCCAGAGATACTGTGGACGTGACTGTGAATGTGAGGTGAGCTGCGGGGATGATGGGAGATGCTTTATGTGTGTGTGTAGGGGTGTGTGTGTAGAGACATTCGCAGCGAATTATATAGCGTAGGAGGTGTGATTACATATTGGTGCTCGTATGCAGATTATTTTGATCCAATCAACAGTTCTCAGTGTACAATTTTGGTCCGGCGGATTGGGTACCAGAAACACTGACCAGAAAACTACCAGTGAGACTTACAGTTTTGCTGTACGGAACACACATTTGTTGCGGGGAAAAACCCCCGTGCGATGAGATCCAGGGCAGTGCATCTGCAGTTTATATGTATGATTTGAATGGTCGGGTCGTTCGGTTTGGTTTGTCTAGATGAATCAGCATCCACTTGCGGGCCTTCAGATGTGCACGCTTGTAGGTGTGGTGTATATTACAGCGATCTATTGATTCGGTATCAGTTTGCACGCGTTAGGTGACTGTCACAGTGCTCTATCAGCAGCGCTTTTCAGATAGCATTCGTCGCACGGGCCATCGGCAGTGTGTGCCACTCTGTACGTAGTGCGCCATACAATTCGCACAACCCAATGGTCGCTCAATATTTGTGCTCTGAAGTCTTACGGTAGCATTAGACTATGAGGAATACCACCACCACACGTCCGTTTAATCAATCCCGTACTCTGCACACAGTGATTCCGCTGGCAACCCCGTATCCAAGGGCGACGTCATGGTTGCTATGGTCGACAAGGCGTTGCTAGATCTCCAGCCAATCTCTCCCAACGCTTCCGAAGCAGCCCTATATGCAATGCTGTACCCTACCTACTTCACCATCTACGACTTCGAAGCGACCACCAGTAAGTTGCTAGTGTTGCAATTAGAGCATTTGGGCTTGCTGCCATGTAGGAGCATGTGTTCATGTACTGTGGAATCGCAGTCGACTGGCGGTGGGGCATGCATACGTTTTAGTTCAGCGTTTAAAGCTTCATTTGCGCTTGCTTCGATGCTACAATGCTTCAACTATCTCCTACACAGCTGTAATTAACTTCCATTTGGTATTTTCTTTTTAGTCTAGAATTCATCGTGTAGTGTGATGTGTATGTGCTTACTTCCATTTGGCATTTTCTTCTTAGTCCAGAGTTCATTGTGTAGTGTGATGTAATATGTGTGTATGTTACATTTGGCATTTTCTTCTTAGTCCAGTTTATTGTGTATTATGATGTGCATGTGTGCATGTTAACTTCCATTTGGCATTTTCTTCTTAGTCCAGACTTCATTGTGTAGTGTGATGTGTATGTGTGTATGTTAACTTCCCACGTATCCACGTATAATGGCATATCCATACTATAGGAAAATGAACGATAAAGTTCTATTTCCCGTGCATTTCATACAGTCCGGTTTTATTTTTCGATCTTATTTCTACTTGGTGCCTCATTTCTATCTGTCGCTTTGCATCAGATGGTCTGGGAAGTCCCGCCGGGTACGCACGTGCACGGGAGATTATGTTGCGGCGTTGGAATACAGATCCCTATCTCCGATTGCAGTGGGTGAGTGATTTGTGTATGTATAATTATATGTGTTATATGTACAAATAGGTCGCTATAACGAATCTTGCTGCACTGAGCAGATTCATATGTATCTATAGTATTCGTAATATTTCATATACTTTTATATTTACAATTAGTTTTTACTATAGCGAACTCTAATGCGCTGTGGGTTTTTTTTGAAACTAGCCGAGAAAAAAACTTTAACCAGCAAGACAGGCTTTGTAAGCGTGCCTGAGAGGTCTTATGCAAGGTCCGCTTCATAAAGTGTGTTCTAATCAGTTCTTGAATTGTTTATAGAACCAACCCATCTACGTATACTTGTCCACACATATGTCATACACAGTCACATCGCTGATGCTTTGAGTTGCATGGGCACCGTAATGAACTATGTAGTCAGCTTTGCCTACGCTTACATCGTTTATGCTGTTATATCGGAATAAGCTTATTATACCCAACATTTTCTGTTCTCCAACTGCACACAGCCAATTGAAGGGGCCGATTATCAATTACAACTCGACGATAGCGACTTCTTCTCTCTGTACTACACTGCCCTGACCAATGGCGGCAATGTGGGCCCTCCCCGTATGTTGGGCTGAGCTCTGTGTTGGGGATTTGAATTGAAATAATTTGTGTTGTCCTGATATGTGTTGTTGTGATTTGGATTGTAATAGTTGTCTGGTGGTGTGATGCTATGACCTTCTTTTCTCTGTATGGTGTTGTTAGTCGTGCTCTCGTGGTCTGTATTATTGTATTCTGTTTTTTGTTTTTTCTGTTTCAGCTGTGCCGAGCTGTCTGGTGGTGCGTTGTTTTATGCGATACGCCTGTCCGCTGTACGCAACCATTTCTCTTCCTGTGGTACTTGTCATGGGTACTTCACGAGTAGCCTAGAAGTATGCTGATATTTAGTCTCATTCCCAGTGTATACAGAAACTCACTCGACGCTTAGGGTGTATATCTCAACAGAGGTAAAAGTATATTGGTTGTTGGCTTCCAAGATTTTAATTGGCTGCCATGAATTGTCATACTTGTGAATGCAGATCTTACACCTACGTTTGGTGCATATGCGTTTCAACTTCACAAATCCTTCTAACCCCGACAACCGGTAGACACAAAGTCGTATTGCTACCTTGCGGTATTGCAGCGATGACAAACAGCACACAATACGTTAACGCTTACCGATCCCACAAACAGTGGTCTGTACTCTACTGTTTCTTCAAACCACACGCTTTCATATTTGTTTTTCTTTGCCGCACTGACTGAACTCCTTTCATCTCTTTTCTCATATATGTTGTTGGCCAACTAAAATCGCAGAGGATTCCATTGACGAGGTGCGTGTAGATCGGTCCTTTCGAGATGTGCGCGTTGTCTGCTTGCGGCAGCTTCTGCTCCTAACATGAGCATTGGTGTTTAGTCTCCAGTGGTTATTGCGCATGTCACGTTGCTCGCTAATTGCTCGGCACGAGATGTGTCGTTGCAGCCTGCGTCTTATGTTGAATTATTCATGGATGTACGCCCATGATGTGTACCATGCACTTGAACTTACACGTATATGTACATCCAGGAGATGTGCCATGCACATGTACATACACATACATGTACACGTATGTCCATGATGCGTACCATGCACATACATGTGTACCCACACACCCTGATCGCTTGCCTGAGGCTGTGTGGATCCCACTGTGTATAGCCCATGGAGCGCATTACTGCGCTCAGCTTTATATAATATTCGGCAGCACCTAAGCTCGCGTCACGTCATCGTTGTTCCTTCGCACTTCTCAGATACCCCGAGAACCGATCATGATGGAGATGGGTACGTCTACTTGCCTACGTGTGCTTGTGCACCTATTGCCAACCCCAGAGCGTGCAGAACCAAGGGCAGCGGCTGTTGTACATGGATGGTGGCTGTTATGCATTTAGGTCTACACGTGGGGCGTGCACGTATTCGGTAGTGTGTTGGGGTTTGGTGTGAAACTACACGTACGTATAAGGTTAAGCTCATGACCATGTGTAAGTGACTGTGCAATTACTATGACCTGGTTTGCAACTTGGAAGAGATCACATGATCCAATGCTGCGTGTGCATACCGAATAACAACTATGCCGAACCCAATAGGCAGCCAAGGATACATGCATGCACATGCGAGCATGATGACAATGACTATCACGCGTGGCGGCAAAGTGTTATGCCATTTCTTTCTGTGTTTCTCAGCAAAAGTGTAGTGGGGTTTTTTTGTTCTGTTTTTTTTTGATTTTTTTGTCAAGAATTACCAGGATGTACACGCTCACACACACAATAGGCACGCACGCACGCACACACACAATCACACGCACGCACACAATCACACGCACGCACGCACACACACAATCACATGCACATGCACATGCGGACGTGCTTGCATGTTGAATTCAAACGGACCCAGCATCCATCAACATTCCGATGGTCAGCATTGTGCACACTCTTACTTTACTGTGTTATGATCGGTACTAATCTTCACACATGTCCAGCAGATGGTAGTAACCCTGAGTTGATGTTGTTTGCTTCGCCGGCGATTGAAGCGAGCAATGGAGCTGTGACAGCTGTCATGGACGAGGGCACGGCCAGAGGTACACGTGTGTGTCTGTCGGTGGTGTGGGTTTGTGAGATACAATAACTAGTGCATGTATATACATACATGTAGGGCCACAGGTACAGGTACACGTGTGTGTATGTTGGTGGCACATATATACGGCATGTCGACACGTACTCTGTACCAACGTGCTGGAGCTTTACATGAAATAGTTGGAAGCCTGTTTGCTGCCGGTGTTACGTTTTGTCAGGTACTCGCATGTGTCATGTCGTAGAACGCTTGCTCGTTCGTCATTGATGGCTTTGTAAACGGAAGTACAACTCAGTTGCAAGTGGTTAGCACAGATGGTGTGGTCCTTTCCTTTGCGCTGATTAGAGTGAGAACTATATACTGCATATGTGATATCACAATATCTTCATCCCATCCCATCCCATCCCATCCCTTCCCATCCCATCCCGTCCCTTCCCTTCCCTTCCCTTCCCATCACTTCACACTCATCCCTTCTGTTTGGTGGTCCGTCATCTGCTCAGAACCAGGTGCCATCACTCTTACCGCCTCGGCCCCTCTGCCCCGCGGCGAGTTCGCTGTCGTCCCTCTGTGGGTGGGCAGTGCTGCGCTGAGTGCGGAGGGTGTGTTCACAGTGTCGGTGGACCTGCCCGACAATGTGGGTGAGTTTGTGGTGTACTCGTATGTCATCGGAGAAGGTTCTGCCGCGAGTGTGGATTCGGCGAGACGTCAGGCGGACGGTATGCGATGCTCAGTGAAGTTTAAGGATTTTGTTCACTGAGAAGTACTGGTTTGAGGTTAAGTTGTTCCTGTGGGTACTGGTTTGAGGTTAAGTTGTTCCTGTGGGTACTGGTTTGAGGTTAAGTTGTTCCTGTGGTCGCATGCGCTGGGGCACTGGTGGTGGTTGCACTGCGCATGGACGTATTCGGGCCTGTAAGGTTCATCTCAATGAATGAGGTGGAGGCTTGGAGAAAGGGTTTGTATGTATACGTTGTGCTGATATTAAGGTACTCCTTGATGATTGGCGGATAGGGGTTTAGGGTTTAGTAACACCTTAGAATCCCTAAAACCCTGAAACTCATTGGCGTTTGGCGGATAGCGAGTGCTTGTCTCAGTGTCCTACCCAGGAGACCATGTTTAGTTTAGTCCATATGTTGTACTTGCGGCAGCAAGAACACTTGTCTACACTGAACCGTCACCGATCTACCTATTCTATTAACACTATGAAACAACCAATTAACTACCATTCCAAATACATTCCTCTGCCACACCACCCCAGTTGCTGCACCCCAGGCTGTGGGTGTGGGTGAAGCCTCGCTCACAGTGGTACAGCCAGTCGCCACACTACAGGAGCGTATGCCGCGAGTGCTGAGGGCCGGGGACGTGTTCATGGGAGGAGTCATTGTCAGTGCCACAGACGAGGACTTTGACGGGCAGCTGACTGTGGAGGTGGAGGTCGAAGCCTTAGGTGTGTCTCAGCAGCAAGGTTGTGGGTAGATTGGATGTGCTACGACGTAGTATGTATGTTTATATGGATTTATGTAGCTGTGCACATGGCACAGGTTTGGGCCAGATTGAACGGTATACACTTGCTGAGTCATGAACCGTGGGTCTTGGCTGGCATACACATGCGGTAGATGAATGCCAGTTGTACCGAGTATAGTGAGGGCAAAACAGGTCCAATAGTGAGGGCAAGGTAGGCCTAATATTGATATCAGGGGTAAAACCTTGACTGCATCACGTAACCCGTTGTATAGTTTGCAGTTAAAGGGACGTATATGTTTACGTGCTTACCTATTTGCAAAATATGGCTATATCTATATCCTATATGCTTACTTATTTACATACCATATGCACTTACATACACTTACCTCCTAGTGTCCATGCACCAGCAATTCATGCAACTTTTACTGCTCGTCAATACTCAAGAACCCTTCCATATCCGTTTGCTTATTTGCAATAGGCGACATGTCTGAGGCGGCTATCAACGTGTGTGTTCCTGAGGATGACTCTTCCGCCGTGCCTGAGACGTCGCTTACACTAGACCTGAAAGGCCAAACACCCGTACAAGGAGCGTTCCGTATGTGTGCTGATGCGCTTGGTAAGCATTCAATACGTTTCAGTCAATACCCGAACACATTTTGTATCGTTTCTGCCACTGCGGGCTTCAACATGGCTGTGGGAATGTGATGGTAGACGTTTGTACCGGCGTGTTTGCGTAGTTCCTTGTGCTCTCGTATACCATTGGTTGTGTGTAAACCCCACGCGCCCAACAAAATATCCGCCCGATGCAACACACGTACGCGACTCTGCAGTGCAGACTACTTTTTTCACCTTAAAAAGTCTCAATTCTGTTTGGAACGCTTGACACATTTTTTAGCAACTAAACGCCCTGCACATTGTTTCCGTTCGTGCCTCGCATATGGCCCCGGTGTGTCCTATATTCACACACACGCATATTTTCAATAGGCGAGAGCATGAATATGTATAAGTACATGTACTTGTACGTAGTTCAGGCGCTCATTGTTAACCAGCACCTTGTCACATGTACAGGCGACTGTGTCCCCACTCGTGTGTACGTTAATATATGCATCGGTACGCGTGCGGGCTTTCAGCTGGCTCGCATGTTTAACAGCAGGAATCTACATATAAACTAACCCATACGCTTGCTGGATCGCACTGTCTGTGCAGGTGATGTTCAGCTCATAGTCACTCTTAAGCAAGGGGATGCGATCATAGACTCACTGATTGTCGAAGCGAGTGTCTCCGGTGTCATGCCACTTGTTACCTTGGCAACGAGCGCGGGTGTGGATCAGGAAAATGCAAACCCTTACCCGGAAGGTCAGCGAGTAAATTACCCTATTTAGATATATGCAGGTGTAAAGTCGCATACCTACTTGTGTGTCAATTTCATGTGTTGCTTGTGCGGTGTTGCATCGCTAATCATCGTGTGGGCAATATCGGCCAGTCTCCAGCTCTGCTAGACGATAAGTTATATGGGCGTATAGGCGTGAAACATAATAGAACCGCGGTTGTTACAGGTAGGTAAATGTGATGTAGTTTGACGCTAAATTAACTCATACCGGATCATATATTCGTTGCGCGAACGATTTTCAGGTATCGCGCTACCGCCGTCTGTACCGAACTCTGGACTGCTGTCGGTCAGTGTGGGCGTGGGCCGGTTGCCAGCTGTGGTGAATATGGTCAACCAACTCGCAGCGAGTGTGTGGCTGTCGGGTAATTCTAGCGCAATAGGTAAGCAAGTGATGTTCATGCCGACATTTGCGGTCGAAGTTGTGCGTCTCGTAGATTTCTCATTTCAGGTTTTGAGGTTCTTGTACTTATTTGAACGCTTATTTTTAACTGGACGCTTGTTTTTATTAACACTTATTTGGCACTGACGTGCTATATATGATACTCAATTTCGATTCCGCATACGAGAGAAGTATCACCGATACTCCCCGTATTAGATATGGCAATTAACGTCATTCAAATAATATCATATATACCTACACAGACCCTACCGTAAGCGCTCTATCGCTGGTTGCTGTGCCAAGCGCGGTGTCATCTGCCACGGCTTCGTACGAATCGCTTTCGGACGAGGTTGCCATGGCAACCGAGACAGCGGATCTAGCCACAGAGCGGTTATCAGTGTACACAAATCCCAACTGTAAGTGAAGTAGTTGATTTTTAGGGATCCATACATCTACAAGAGTTTTGTTTTGCGATGATTTCGATTGCCTAGTGGTAGCAGCGTCTGACATAAGAGTCGAAATGGGTCAATTGCTGAGATTCCCTGTAGGACTGAGAGTGGTGCGATATCGGATACATGCATGTATAGTCGATCGTTTTAAGTTATTTAAGGCAACTTCTGCGTTTATTTCCTTTCAGGATCGATTACTGAGACATCCTATTGGTCTAGACTTTGTATGATATATATAGAGTACATAATCCGACGTTAAATGTTGCTCGTTGTAGGCGACTGCTGAGTCCAGTTCCTTTCCACGTGACTAGCAACTCTCAACGTACTAGGAGTGCAGTAATTCCGTTGCTATCCGCTTTAATTGAGTGCGAAACTTCATTTGTTACAGAGCGGCTCCCATTCTCGACAAGGAATCCTTTCGTGAATAAGAGCTCGTCTTCATGTGTACATGGATGTGTTGTGCGTATGTTAAATCGGATTTGGCACTTTCTTGAGACCCGGACTTTATACAATCACTACCTATACGAACATAAACAGCATACCCGTATACCAGGCTGCCAATCTTTGAGTCCCTTTTCGTTACGCGCCTGTCGCAAACGCTGTACTCATTCCTAATGCGTTGGAACGCGAGTATCAGTATCCGTGGGGAACCTCTTCCGTCAACAAGTTGTCTGTCTCACCCTTTCACGCACCATAGTCAAAAACAGTTACACACCTTATTGTCCATTACCATGTGGGCTGTCCTGTGGTGCTGTAGTACCACAATGGTTAGCGTGGGCGTGCTGTTGCGCGTAGCTTACCTTTTAACACATGCGTCTCACTTTGCTGCATCCCTCCACAGTTGGTCTGACCTACATGCCCACCACCACGTGGACGCCAACGAGCACCGATGTGTGGCTCAACGCGTTTGCGCTCTACGCGTTCAAGGATCTGGAGAGAGATGGCAACACAAGGACATGGGAAGATGCCATGGTATGCCTGGCAGTTTGATCTGTGTTTATATGATAGATACTGATGACAATAGTGTACAGTTTCGAGTGGGTGCGGCGCTGATGCCTGTGGTTGATCAGGTGGAGTATCGAAGGATATGTTATGATAGCTGCGTTCGAAGACTTTTATGAGAGAGATGTAATAGACCCCCTAGCTTTGTTCAATGCACAAGCAAGATGTGTAAGCTTTAGGCAATTTTATCACCATGGATTTTGAATACGTCCATACGTATGTAGTTGTGTGTATGCTGTATCCGCTGGCACCGCCATGTGGTTGTGTATATGTATGTCTCGAAAGGATGCATACATATACAACCCTCTTTGGCTTATAAAATATATATATATATATATATGTACGCATGTATGTATA